AGCTGCCCCCGGAGATCCGGGCCCTCCCCACTCTCATGGCCTTTCGCAAAGCCATTAAAACCTGGCTTTTCCGGCAGGCTTGGGGCTGTTGACCCCTCGATAGAGGTCCAGCCCCGTCTGATTGGGTGTCCGTTGTGTTCCTTTTTAACTTTGTTGTGTCTCATTGTTTTCAATAATCCTTTTTAATTCTTTTTTCATTTCTGTAAACCGCCCAGAGTCCTCCGGGATTGGGCGGCATAGAAATTCAATAAACGAAATGAAATATCGACGGCCCACTATGAGAATACATAAGGGGAATTCATTTCCGGAATCAAAACCTCCATGGCCAGCTGTCCTCGGGTGTGTTTATCAGCAGGACAACGGCGCTTTAGAGGAGAGGTAGAGGAAGGTGCAGGATGGGCTGGGGGGGGGGGCAGGGCCGCGCGGGAGAGTCCTGCAGGTGAGGTGAACTCGGTTTCTGTGCTCATGCCAACCGGAAGTTATGTGTTCGGCGGTGTAAAAGAGAGCCGAAAAGCTGCATTGCAGTGCTCAGTGTGCGTTCACTGGGGGAAACATTCACGCTAGCAAAGGTATTCAATGCAAAGTCTCAGACGTGCGTGTCGGCTCGGACAATTCCTTCCACACGAAGTCATAAATAGTGATACCATCTGTCAGCCTCCACCTTCCCCCCCTCTCCCCATTCGCTGTCCCATTTCTCAGACGCGGCCTGAACAGATGAATATCTCCCCCTCCCCGCCTAATATTCTTCCTTGGCAGGCTGCCTCTCATCTCCCCCCTCCCGCCCCCCTCCAGAATGTATCATGTCTTCTATCATCACGGAAGCGAGACTTTTGTTTTTAATACACCTACGGACCTAGAAATATATGCATGGGTTGCGTTAGAACAGTTATGCTGCCTAATTTGAGTGCATTTTAATTCCCCCTCCCCTGTGAGCAGGTTTCCTTTTCCCTAGTCGCAATTCGCTGTTTTGGTATTCCTGATCCTGGTTGCGTATTTTTCCTTGCGTCCCTCACTTGAGCCGTTTGCTTCTGGATATTATCTAAATTCAGAAAGTATTTTTCTGGAAGCCGCTGCATCGCTAAACCAACTCTAGTGGGAAAGTCTGCCGCTCGGCCACTCTTTCTAGGCACCTCACTTCCGCCAGAAGATGCAAGGGGAAGGAGTAAGGAGCAACCCTAGCCGCCCGGAGTCCTCCGGGATTGGGCGGCCTATAAATAAAATTAAACTAAACTAAACTAAACCCTGAAAGTTGCCCTTGTGTTCGCAGACTGGTCCCAGAGGTGGGATTCAGGCGGTTCGGACCGGTTCAGGGGAATCGGATGCTAATTTTACATCTGGTTCACCAAACCACTAGTTGCAAGGACTGGCTGGCCATGCCCACTATGCCCCTCCCATTTTGGATGCCTGGAAAGTGCAGGGCCCACATCAGTGGTGGGATTCAGCTGGTTTGCACCTATTCGGGAGAACCGGATGGTAACTTTCCAGGCAGTTCGGAGAACCAGTTGTTGGAAGAAATCTCCTTTTGTTTTCCCCCACTTTACAGGGCTAATCCTGTAAGGAAGGCAGGCAGGAAGGAAACATTCTGGTGTTGTTTCTAGCCTAATTTTTATTGCCCTGCTTACAGAAACTGCCTCTCCTGATTACATTGTAAGAGCTAAGGCGAAGCACCCATCGACAGGAGCGACGTTGAGGTGGCCACACCCACCCAGTCACATGACCACTGAGCCCCACCTACCCAGCTGGCCATTAGGGCAGAGAAACGGTTGTTAAATTATTTGAATCTCACCACTGGCCCACATAGAGGGTTCCATGAGGGTGAAAAACGGGCCTCGCGGACGTTCCGGAAGTCCAGATCTAACCCGAGGGCGGCCCAGGGAGACTCAAGGAAAGCCTCCAGAGCCTGGAGAGGATGAAAACAACCCCCCCCTCAATGGTGCAGGAGGTCAAGAAGGCCATGCCCACCCAGCAACCGGGCAGAGAACTGGTTGCTAAAATTTTTGAATCCCACCCCTGACCTCAGAGCATAGTGGGGCTCCCCTCAAGAGCCTGGCATTGGGGTGGGCAGCATCACCAAGTCTGTTCTTTAAAAAAAAATAAAAAATAAGTGGGCGCAGTGGGTAGAGTGTAGTAGTGCAGGCCACTTCAGCTGACTGTTGTCTGCAGTTCAGCGGTTCAAATCTCACCAGCTCAGGGTTGACTCAGCCTTCCATCCTTCCGAGGTGGGTGAAATGAGGACCCAGACTGTGGGGGCGATATGCTGACTCTGTAAACCGCTTAGAGAGGGCTGAAAGCCCTAGGAAGCAGTATATAAGTCTAACTGCTATTGCTATTCTATCAATTAAATTTCTTAGTGCTTACTAAACATCGCATTGTCTGGATATTTAATTTGTTAAAACAGTACAGATTCCATTCTTACTCTCTTTTTTCCCTTTTTTCCCCAACCACTGGTAAAATAAGTTCCACGTTTGATAATACTCTGTGTCTTCTTTCGGCTGGGTTTTCAATGCCACTCTCTCCATTTCTGCACAGTCTAATAATATTGCCTTAATTACCTCTTCATCTTGCAGCGTTTCTTCATTTTTCCAATATTGTGCGAAGGTAATCCTTGCTGCTATTAAGGAAAGTAATACTAAATATGTACTTTTCTTATCCATTTCTTATACCTCATCCCTAATAAAAACAGTTCAGGTTTACAATCTACATCTTTTCTAGCCATCTGTGTGTTTTTGCCCATTTTTATTCGCACAAGGCCACCACATATGATAGAACGTGCCTGTTTTTTTTAAATTACATTTCCAATATTTGCTAGACACATTTTAACAGGTGGCCAAATGCCATCTATAAAACATTTTATATACATTATCTTTATAAGATCTTGGCCCGAAATGCTGGTTTCCTGTCTCTGAAGTCAGAAAGGCAGAGATATACCCTGATTGTCATATTTTCTTGTTTGCAGAGCAAAAGTGCGCCTTACTGCCAAGGCGAGTACAATGTTTACAGCACCTTCCAGAGCCATGAACCTGAATTTGATTATTTGAAGAGTTTGGAAATCGAGGAAAAGATAAACAAGATAAAATGGCTGCCGCAGCAGAACGCAGCCCATGCTCTTCTGTCAACAAACGGTAAAAAAAAATAACAACGTAGTTAACCTTGATCAGAGCCCGCCAGGTAGATTTCAGGTTTACGTGATCTTGAATTCCCCTGATCTTTGCTGACCCACATGACATGCCACATGGGGGAGAAAATCCTCCATAGGTGAGCTACAGGGATGCAACCTGCCCCAAGCAGGATATAGCATCCGAGATACCAAATCCTCAAATATTCTCCTTGCATTCTTGGTGAAGATTTTCCCCTGTTTCCATGACTTCAAGAGGTCATCTCTTTCACCCAAACTCCCAACACTTTCCCAAAAATATAAGAAGGAAACAGCTGTGGCTTCCTAAAGAGAAAGTTCTTGCATTATATTTTCTGGGGTCAACTCAAAAGTGAATCTGGCTTTAGCCTCTGCAAAAGGTGAGGATGTAACCCTGGGACGGGGCAATGGTCATAAATGTGAGTCAGTTGCCAAGCGTCCAAATTTTGACCACGTGACCATGGGAAGGCTGCATCGGTCGGAGGTGTGAAACACGGTCATAAAATCAAGCGTGAGTTGGCATTTCAACTTTCTTCAGTGCCCTTGTAACTTCGGTCCATAAATGAATTTCTTGTAAGTCGAGAAATACCTGTATTGTGTTAAAAAAAACAAAGTTGTGACACTTTGTGCTTTTTTCGTAACTATGATGGTTTTTTGGTTCGTTTGAAGATAAAACTATTAAATTGTGGAAGATCACCGAGCGAGATAAGAAACCCGAGGGATATAACTTAAAAGACGAGGAAGGAAAGCTCAAGGAATTATCCATGGTGACTTCACTACAGGTGGGTGCTTGGAATTTTTGGGGTTTTTTCCCCCTTGTTTAAATTGTAATTCTTTTATTTAAAACTGGCCGATAATCCAGCCTTGCCCAGGTATTTATTTATAGGGGGGAAATGTCTGGACAATCTGAGTTTTGTCCCGTTTTACGACTTTCCTTGCCAGGTCGCAAAAGGGGATCCCACCAGGGGTGAAATTCAGCAGGTTCTGACAGGTTGCGGAAAACGGGTAGCGGAAATTTTGAGTAGTTCGGAGAACCGGCAAATACCACCTCTGGCTGGCCACGCCCCCATCTATTCTCTGCCTCCCGAGTCTCAGCTCCTCAGGAGGGAATGGGGATTTTGCAGTACTCGTCCTCAACTACTTTTGTTGTTCGGGTTTTGCAACCTCTCGGAACTTACTTCGATTCCGCAGCGAAGGGCCAGGATGGAAACTGCCGTGCGGCAGTTGGAAACAGCTGCGTGACATTTTCTTGTCACGTGCGTGACCGTGCAGCCGCGCAGCTTAGAGGGAACATTGCTCCCTAAGCGAACTGTTGTTAAGTTAAGGGCTACCTGTACGGTACGCTCCCTTCAAAAGCCCCTCGAAGACAAAACCTGTTGTGTTTCTTTCTACAGGTGCCTGTGCTGAAGCCCACGGACTTGATGGTTGAAGTCAGCCCCAGGAAAGTTTTCGCCAATGGCCACACCTACCACGTGAATTCCATTTCGGTCAACAGCGATTGTGAGACTTACATGTCTGCGGACGATCTCAGGATTAACCTTTGGCACTTAGCCATTACCGACCGGAGCTTCAGTATCCTTTGGCGTCATTCCCCTTATCCTGGGAGAGGTGGGGGTCGCCCGTAGATTTCGGACACCTCAGATGCAAACAAACACTGGGGTTCCGTACAAAGCACTCTCCATTTCTCCATTGTGCCCATAAACGCCGTGGTGGCGCAGTGGTTAGGCTGCAGGCTACCTCTTGCTGGCTGCTGGCTGCCTGAAATTTGGCAGTTTGAATCTCACCAGGTTCAAAGGTGGACTCAGCCCTCCAGCCTTCCGAGGCGGGTAAAATGAGGACCCAGATTGTTGGGGAAAAGACGCTGACTCTGTAAACCGCTTACAGAGGGCTGTAAAGCACTGTGAAACGGTATCTAAGTGCTACTGCTATTAACCTTCCCTCCATCCTTCCTTCCTTCCTTCCTTCCTTCCTTCCTTCCTTCCTTCCTTCCTTCCCCCCACCCTCCCTCCCTCCCTCCCTCCCACCCACCCTGCCTGCCTGCCTGCCTGCCTGTGGTTAGAATAAAGTATTGCAGGCTGACTCTGCCCATTGCCAGCGGTTCAATTCTGACTGGCTCAAGGTTGATTCAGCCTTCCATCCTTCTGAAATCGGTAAAACGAGGACCCAGATTGTTGGGGTTGTCAAGACTCAGCCTTCCCTCCTGGCAAGATTCTTGTAATATAGGCACGTAGCAGTGAAGCGTCTGCTTGAGACCGCTCCCAAGAAATTCTTGGTTGCCGGAGCCTGGCGATGAGTTTCCTTAACTGGCCTTCCCAACGCAGACATTGTGGACATCAAACCCGACAACATGGAGGACTTGACTGAAGTCATCACAGCCTCGGAGTTCCATCCCCACCACTGCAACCTCTTCGTCTACAGCAGCAGCAAGGGTTCCCTCCGGCTTTGCGACATGAGGGCCTCGGCGCTCTGCGACAAGCATTTCAAGAGTAGGTTACGGACAATGGTGGTATTCAGCCGGTTCGGACCAGTTCGGGCGAACCGGTAGTGCCCACCTGCCCCAGCGCTATTTCGTCCTATTTAGCCACGTTTTCTAAGCCGCGCGCGGACATGCACACACTCACACTTTTGGTGTGTGGTGAACTGGTGGTGCAATTATGTGAACCCGCTTCCGGTTGCAGAGATGCCTTCTTGAGCTTTCAGTGGGGCGGAAGAGCATGGCAGGACTTTTTGTTGGGAGGACATCCAAAGGGTTCTTGGGTTAACTTTTTCTTCCTGTGGCTCGACAAGGACGAGGGTAACTGAGTCGGTCCCGTCTCAGCCGCAAGATGGGGGATGGCCAGATTTGAAATTATTACAAACGTCTCACCAGACGTTGAGCTTTGTTTAAATGGAAAAGGAGGCTTGCAATGGTAGCTATTGAGCAAAGATCCATGTTTACTTCCTCTCTTGTGGCCAAGAGAACAGGGGTATCAAACTCACAGCCCACAGGCCACAGGCCAGATGCGTGAGCGGTGAAATGCTACTAGTTCGGCCTGCTTCAGCCGAATCAGTAGTAAAAAATGCTACCAGTTCAGGCAAACCAGTAGTCAGCTATGCAACAAATCAGCTGTGCCGCGTGATTTATATTCACTAGAAATTGTGTGGCACAGGTGATTGTTACACAGCTGATCGTTGGAACTTTAAAAAAACTTTTTAAAGCATTTTTTTTACTACAGGTTTGGGTGAACCGGTATTAAAAAAATGCTTTAAAAAGTTTTTTAAAAATTCAGATGATCATGCGACACAGCTGATTGTTGCACAGCTGATCGTTGGAACTTTTAAAAAACTTTTTAAAGCATTCTTTTTTCTACAGGTTTGGGCGAACCATTTTAAAAATGTTTTTAAAAAGATTTTAAGAAATTCAGATGATCATATGGCATAGCTGATTGTTGCACAGCTGATCATCAGAACTAAAAGGTTCCGATGATCAGCTGTACAACAATCAGCTGTGCCGTGAAATTCCTAGTGAATATAAATTGCGCGACACAGCTGATTGTTGCACAGCTGACTAGCATTTCACCTGAACCGGTAGCATTTTTTACTACCGGTTTGGGCGAACTGGCCCAAACTGGTAACATTTCACTGCTAGGTTCTAGCAAATCTAAATTGCGTGGCACAGCTGTCCCCCACCCCACCCCCACTCGCTGTTCGCTTACCTTTGCAGACTCAGAAAAGGCTTCTTAGCGTCTGCGAAGCGAACCGGTAGCAGACTTCAGAGCATTTCACCCCTTGGATGCATCACCCGCTGGCCATGCCCACCCCCGTTTTAGTGAAGGGGGGAAAGTCACGATACGTCACGGGATGACAATGTGATGACGTTAAGTTTGACCCCACCGCTGTTGTAGAATGATGGGAATGGTTAGTCCGGGTTGATCATGAGACCCGTTTTTGAGTGGAGGAACCTTTGACAAGAGACGGACCCCACACCACCAAGTGTGAATTGGAGGAGAGGCGTCCTTTTAATGTGCATTTCAAGTGGAAATATGCAAAATACTTCACAAAATGAGAAATGTTAAATGTTGTGGAAAAAGCAGCTGTGTAGAAATGTGACATACTTCCTTCCTCCCTCCCCTCCCTCTCTTTTTTCCTCCCTCCCTCCCTCTCTCTCCTTCCTTCTTTCCTTTCTTCCTCCCCTTTCTTCCTCCCTTTCTTTTTCCTCCTTTTCTTCCTCCCTCTCTCTTTCCTTCTTTCCTTCCTCCACTTCCGTCCTCCCTCCCTTTCTTTTTCCTCCTTCCCTCCCTCTCCTTCCTTCTTTCCTTTCTTCCTCCCCTTTCTTCCTCCCTTTTTTTCCTCCTTTTCTTCCTCCCTCTCTTTCCTTCTTTCCTTCCTCCACTTCCGTCCTCCCTCCCTTTCTTTTTCCTCCTTCCCTCCCTCTCCTTCCTTCTTTCCTTTCTTCCTCCCCTTTCGTCCTCCCTTTTTTTCCTCCTTTTCTTCCTCCCTCTCTTTCCTTCTTTCCTTCCTCCACTTCCGTCCTCCCTCCCTTTCTTTTTCCTCCCTCCCTCCCTCCCTCTCCTTCCTTCTTT